TCCCCCTGTCCTTCTCTCCCCCTCTCACTCTCCCGGCTCTATTTATAACTCTGTGGGAAATTGCTGAGTCGGCTTTTCTGAGGGTTCTTGCTGTAATTGATTCAAAATGCAAGTTGTCTCTTTAGTGATGTGAGAGGAGGGAGAGGATCCTGGTCCAGTGACACGGACTGGAGGTTTTCAGACCCTGACGTTTTGTCAGATCAGGTTCTGGGTCTCTGGAAAAAAAAAAAAGGTTTTGTGAAAAAGGTTCTGTTGTCAGAAATATAATATAACAGTCGTGTTTATCAGTGATTCTGATTCATCTGTCGTGAGGCTGCAGTAAACGCTAATCCGTCCTCAGTAACAACAGACACACAATCAACGATGATAAAAACCACAACACGGCTGTTCTGACCTCAGATCAGTTATTTTTTATTATAATTTTTAATAAGAAACAGACAGATAAGTGAGTCAAACTTTGGTCCACGTACCAGAGTTTGAGAAACACATGCTCCTCAGATGACCTTTGACCTGTGTGTTTGAGGCAGTTTTAATTAACAGCAACAAGAGGAGAGTGTCGAGGGTTCGAAACCCGGCTCTGATCTGTGGAGTGATTTTTTTTTTTTTTTCAGATTAATCACAGGTCCATTCTGAGATCAAATAAGGTTCAAACTAAAATGTTTTTGTAGGTGCCGGAGGGCGAGTCAGAAAGTCCTCAGACAGATGTTTGTCATTTCTGCGAGTGTCCGGTGATCGTGACTGAAACCAGTTCAGACCGGTCTCTGTGTCTCCAACAGCTCAGAGCAGTTTGATCATCGTGTATTTGTCCAGTGTTTTTATTCTACCCTCAAAAAAAAAAAACAGTTTTTAAAAAATACATTTTTTACACCTGTTAAAATGAAGATTTGCAAAAGTTTCTTATTTAAAAATAAATAAAGGGAACTTCTGTTGTCTCCCCCTCTCTCTCTCTCTCCCTCTCTCTCTCTCTTATGTAACCTCTTGTTTTAACCGTTCTCTCTTCCCTCTGTGTCTCTCACACGACCCCGTCCCTCCCCCTTGTCCCCGCCCCCTCCCCCACTTGGTGTCCTGTTTTCCTGTGTGTAGGTGTCCCAATGACTATACGGGGGACCGCTGTCAAAACTCCGTCATGGCCAGTTTCTACAGTACGTCCGTTTGCTCTCGTCTGTCTCCTTCTCACTGAAGTAGGGCATGCTACGATGAAGGGGTTTGGATGAGGAGAGCTGTGTGTGTGTGTGTGTGTGTGTGTGAGACCGTGCATGTCTCTGTGTCCAGCCCCTGCTCTCCCTGTCTCCCCTGGTTCCTCTAAGAACAGAGACGAATCCAAACCAGATTTCACTCCAACGACTTCCAGCCCCAGAAATAACGAGATCATTCTAAGAAGTTTAGGAAACAGAGGAGACAGTGGACACACAGTAGTTATGTTGCAGCAGATCTTCTGTTTGTTTAGTTTTCTTTCTTTTTTTTTTGATGATCCATTGATGCTGTTGGTTTGTAAAAAAAAAGAAAGAATAAAAAATCAGGAATTTTAGAGAGTTAAAGTTATAAAAAGAGAAAATAAAAATTGCATTTTTCAAGTAAATATTTTTTTACCACCACATTTTTCTCCGGCAATTACACGTATCACTAATATCATACGTCTTACACTATGATATATTCACTGAATTTACAAAATTATCTACACTACACTATGATATATTCACTGAATTTACACGATTTCAATCTGAGCAGAACCAGAAACATCAGTGGATCATCAGAGTCGGACTTCTATGGTGGCATGTAGTTGAATTCTGGGTAAAATAATGTATATATTTAACCATGTTCTACAGTGGTTCCCAGGTTGTGGGTAGGGAACTCCTCCGCCCCCTGCAGGACATGGAGCTATTACAGTTGAGAGACTTCCTTTAATTGTGTCACAGTGTTCAAATTGTTCTGGTCTGTAGTTTAATTCCCATCGTTCAGAAATTATATTTCTTTACAGTTAACATGTCAACGATGGCCCTAACTGCACAACGGGAACCACTGAATTACAAAATGTGCTCATGAATTAAAGGAGTAGTTCAGCATTTTTATTTAAAAAAAATACCCTACAAAACTACTGTATAAAAAATAAAGTACACAGTTAGGCCATAATCAGAGAGAGGAGGTGAGAAAATGTTCCTCATCTGGGATGACGATCACCTCGGTGTTCTAGACATGCAGCAAACCGTTTCAGCACCTCTGCTCCGGACAGTTCCTGGAGATATTAGCACTGGAGGACTAAGCTTTTATTTCCTGAACTATTCCTTTAAGTCACAGCCACAGAGGAATGAGCTGATTTTATAACTCTGCTGTGATGGCATGGACGGTGACTTCATCAACAGTCAGGACAAATGTCTGACTTGTTCCTGGGAAAAAAAAAGTCGACGTCCACGCGATCACAGAGAGACTGAAGAGAAACCAAAAAAAAATCAAGAAATGACCCTTTAATGACATGAAATGTTTTGTTTATGAATTGAACTCAAAGGTGTGTGTGCGTGTGTGTGTTTTTCCGTATCGTTGTCACTCTGTGTGTGTGTGCTGACCCGTCCATCCAGCCTTCTGTGTCTGCGCTGAACTCTGTGACGTCCAACTTTCCTTTTGCATCCCGTCGGAGGAACATCTGTGTCTGTCGATTTGTGTTGATTTGTCACTGCCTGCTTTTTTTCCCCCGTTGACATGGACGCTGAGTGTAGAGCAGCTGAGGGTCAGGGAGGTCAGGGCCGGCGATGCATGCAGAGCCGTGGAGAGCGGGAACGCTGCGGCGACTTAACTCAGTAAATCACATGAGAGCTTATAATAGCCGTACACGGCAATAGAGGGAAAAGTACTACAGTGGAGGTACTCTGTGATCGATACGACGGCACACAACTGCCATTAGTCAAAGGAGTTACAGCGCCCCCTCCTACTCTCCCCCCCATTTGCTGTGCCAGCCTCATCGACTGTACTGTGTTTTTACGCTGGAGAGTAAAAAAAAAAAAAGAAAAACTCACTGCTTTTTATCTTTTTTCCTGTGTATTTTTCTTTTTTTTTTTTTGTTGCTTTTGCTTTTTTTTTTTATTGTGTCTATTTCTGTCCAATGTTCACTCCAGAAATGAGGTCTAGTAAATATAGCAGTAAGTGATGTGGCTTCTTGTCTTGCTGTCTTTGTCCGTCTGTCTCTGTCTCTGTCTCTGCATGCCTCTCCTGCCTGCTTTTTTTATTTCCTAATTTTTTATTTATTTTTTACATTTTCTTTTTCCCTTTGCATTGAGTTTAATTTAATTAATTTTTATCTATTTTTTTGGTGTGCGTTTCCTGTCATTTCTGGGGGTCACTGAGCTGAGGCTGCGTGGTTTTGTCTGTCGTTACTGGACAGTCCACGTGTCGGTCACCGTGACTGGCAGCTTTAATCAACCTATGTCCTGGTTTAGTTCATACAGAAGACGAACCAATATCAGTGGACGTCACACCTGACTCTGTCTGTCTCTCTCCTTTTATCACCACAACTGTCTGCGCTGGCAGAGATTCTCAGAATTGAATTTATGGGTATGCAACATTCTGATTCATTTTGCTGTGCTTGAAGGGCTTCTCTCACAGTCACACATTTCTGTTCCGTCCAACCAGTAGATCTCTATCAACCTGCCCCCCCTCCTCCCCCCCCCCTGTCCTGCCCACTGACCTGGTGTCAAGACATGTAACCACCCACCACCCCTCCACCCCCCGTCCCTGCTGCATGCACTCTTCATGAAGTCTGTCTGATCCTGAGATCTTGAATCGGAGCGGAGGCGAACAGGGCATCTCACTCTCCCCGACTGTTTCGCCATCAGCATTGATGAGCGCCACCATTTGGCTCGGAGCTTTGGCAGCGTGCACATTGGCTTCAGCAGCCTGTCAAATGAAAACATGCAAGCTGCGAGAGTTTTTGCGAAAAGCCTGCCAAGAGTCAGGAAAAAGGCCTGACCACATACAGCAGTCCGTCCTTATTATTCTGTCCATGATTGACTCGGTGTCAGAGCGGAGCGCTCGTCCGCCCTAAATCACCGCTGCTGTTGGCGTTCCCATTTCCCCTCCTGCCTCTCCGTATCAGGGGGTCTGTGACACGCACACAATGGCGGACCAAAGCTCTCGTAGGCTTTTCAATCTCTACAGAGGTCCTTGGTTTACACCCCCCCTCCTCCTCCTCCTCCTCCTCCCTCTCTCTCTCTCTCTCCCTCCCACACTCACAGTGGCGTGCCAGGAACTTTTTGAGGGAGAAAAAAAAAGAGAGGAAAAGGTGAGGTGGTGATTTAGACACTGACCTCTGCTTCCATTGGCTAAAATGACTCGATACGACAGTTTTCATTTTACGTGAAGTCAGTGCAGGTTCTAATGTTCATACGTCTCCAAACGAGTCCTTCTTCCTGACGTCACGTTGTCGGTAATCATCATAGCCCCACACTGGTTAGCTCCACCCATAATACTGGACCTCTGTGGTGGTCAACCGAAAAAAGGCAATCATCTTTAACAACACTAGAGGGAGACAGTCAGTGAGGCCGTACAACTGTAGTAACAACTTAAAAAATATTGAATAATAACTGACTTCCTTATTCGTCCCACAACGAAGAAATTCACCGTGAGTCTTTGCAACCGGTACCAGTTGCTTTAATTGGCCACAAGGGGCGCCGAACCCAGGACTTTCTGCTGCTGACAAATGTCCAGGTTTACTCCTGACTACAGGTTCTTCTGGAGCTCTTCCTCCTCCTCCTTCTCTTCTTCCTTCTTCTTCTTCACGGTACCAGTTCACACCAGTGATAACTGATGCAGCGTTAGGTGATAAGGGGATAAAGACCACGACAGTCCAATCCTTGATCATGAGGAGTTCTCTCCCTCTGGACCTGGACACACCTC